AGGTATTTAAAAGACGTGTAGATGAGGCACTTAGGGACATGGTTTAGTGGACATGGGGGTGTTGGGTTGCCGGTTGGACTCGATGATCTTAGAGGTCTTTTCCAACCTCAATGATTCTATGATTCTATGATTCTATGAAGGTTTGTATCTCCTTTTAGTGGTTCAGTAAAGCCATTCAAAACTGGATCTTGATGTTTGACCACAGAAATGATTTAAAAGCTACAGTCAGAGGTGATGCTTTAGTAGAGAAAATGCCAATCTGGGGATGAAGATGGACATTTCCAAAAGTAATGTGATACCATAGCATTTAGCACAAAAACATTGACCAAGTCAATGTGGTGGTACTCAACACCAGAAGAGTGAATTAGAGATATTGATATGATACAGTTTGCTCAAGAATTTTCTGATGGAGTTCAAGCAGGTTCTATAGATTCAGCATCTGGTAATCCTGACACCAGATCACAAAATATTTTAAAAATCAATACACGCTACACTATACAGTCATTGAATCCAGTGTCGTCTTTGCTGATTATGTTCTGTTTCAACTGCTGTTAATGTTAGTCTCCCTTAGAAAGGGCCCAGTACAGGAAGCATAAGTATGCGTCTTTGTTCTGTAATCCTTGGAGTTTGCCCTATCTGTAACTAAAGAGAAAGTCTTGATTTCTTGCGATCTGGACTGAAGCTTCTCAGTCCTCTGAAATTTGGGAGAGCTTCACATGCTGCAAAAGATACATAGCAGCACAGCTGTCTCTCATAAAATAGTTTCAATGAACATGATGTTGTCTCAAACCACACAGCTAGCAGGTATTCTGCTGCTTCTGAAATATGTCCAAGCAGATATGCATCATTTGAACAGTTTTGCATCCACCTTAAATTACCAGTACTTACACTTAGTTTATAATATTACTATTCTTTTGCAGGGTGTTTTTATTTATTTGTTTAGTGTTTCATTATGCTATTCTGTTTCTATTTTCATACTTTATTTTTTGTGTGGTTTGTGAAAGCACTTGCAGAAGTCCCTGTGAGGCTTAACAACAATTCCATGGATACTTCCTTGCTGACATCTCAGCTGGAAACAGTTATTCAGAAGCAAGCATAATTTTTTGCTTTGGGTTAACAAATCTTAATGGCTCTCTATAATTCCTCATTCTAGCTTCTGGTACTTCCAACAAAGTTACAGAAAACAACCTACACAGATTTTGAGGTTGTGTATAGATAACTATAAAGCACAAAAGGAAAGACTTTTCTTTTTCTTTGTAAGCCACCTACTTTAAATGCATGTTCTGTTTTTTGTAAAACTATGTTTTTTCAACAAATAATTTATTTTAGATGCAGGAAGACAGACTAACGATTTTCAACAAAAATTTCATATAATCCAAGAAGAGATCAGTCGAGAAAATATGCTGCATTCAAAAAAAATTGGTTTTACAAAGACTAAATTATTTTAGCTTCACAATATATAACATCCAAAAAACCCCTCACTGACCTACTAGATCAGAGTCACGCAAGAAAAGTAAACATACCATTTTGCTAGAAAAATCTAGGGGTTTTTTTAGTTGCTACTCTTCAATTTATTTTTCTTATACTCGCAGAAGTGCATATAAAATACATTCAGTTGTTTCTGAATGGTTATGAATCTCTATTTGTTCACCTGTTTCACAAAGTTGTCTGAATACATGCATTTGTGGATGTGTACAATATAATGTACATTGTAAGTGCATATATGCGTTATATACAAATACATATGTATTCTGTCCACACACACATTCTTCCAAATGGAAGGTGAATGCTCTAATTTACAATCATCTAAGACTATAGACTCAAGCTTGTTTCAAACAAGCATTAAGAACAGAAAGCTCTGAGAATTTAGAAACATTCAATAATTATTGACTTTAACCACATTATACAAATGACAAATTTCTTATTAACTATTTTAATATTAAATCAGTTCCTATATAAATGACTTCCTTAAGGCTTCTGAAACCACCCTATAACTTTTATATTGCTATATAATTCATCATAAAATTCAGGTCTCTCATGTAAAACACACATGCTGGGTTACTTTGATCCCATATAGAAGATATTTTATCTGTCTTCACTATCAGTTGTATTAATTGCTTACCTAAAGAATTTGAAGGGAAACCTTTGGCATCTGTAAACAAAAAGTTAGACTATGTACTGACCATCTGACCATAATCAGAATTCTTACAGAAATGAAAGCCAGCAATTTCTGAAAACACCTACCTTCTTTATTGCTACACAAGTTTACGTGATACTAAAAGTAAATTATTACATCTGATTTCTGATTATTTATGTTGTATCAGTGATCGCTGTTTTTGTTTTGGCTGGTTTGTTGTTTTAACTGATCTATACCAATGCTCCTGCATGAACACACTCTTCACTAGAAAATACATGTGAAAATCAAGAAAAACCTGAATGAGTGGGTTCTTTGATGTTTAGTATGGCTTAATTCTGAAAATTTTTACTGAAATTGGCCATTAATATAATTTCCCAACCCGCCTGAAAGTCATTCACTGATCTCCGGGAAATGTTTGTTTTCTCTCAGGCTCTCTTTTCCATTTTCTCAGCATCTCAGTAATGGACCCTTTAGAGATCTGAAACAAAGACTTATATTTGAGCCCTCTTTCTGTGTCAAATTTCACTGAAAACAGCCAACACAAAGGGATGATGGCCATAAAGAGAAAAATAGGACATGAGGTATAAGCCTTGCCCTCTCAGGAAAACCCCGTTGAAATTGTTTTCATAATCAACACAAAATTATTGACTACTTGTATAGATAATGTAATCCTCAATGAAACTTTAAAGAATGGTTGCTTACTAGTGGCCTTCTGTTTGCTTGCTTTGTTTAACTCAGCAAGTCATACTCACTTGTTCCACTGATGATATCCGGTCTGGCTTTCATGACTTTGCAGAACTGTTTTCTACAAATTTCTGTCCACCCAGTTTGCTTCTCCGGACTTTTTAAGAGTGATAAAAGCTTGTCAAGATCTTTATCTAGAAGACATGAAAAATAAGTGTTATTCTGTAATGATAATCTTGGCTCATTTTTTTTTTCCTTTACTTTTTTTTCTTTCTTTTAAACTTACTACGTAAGTAATAAGAAGCTATTAGTTCCAGAGTACCACAGAGACAACTAGATGCATTCAGAAACTAGAAACCATTTCAAAGAAGAACAGGAAAGTCAGACGCAGCTGAGAGCCCTGTCATTGCCTGGTATTTTTGGCAGACCTCATACCTTAGGAAGAAAAGACTAGATAAATATCCCTTATCCTATGACAATTAAAATGGAAAAGCAGTCCTAAAGCTGATGACATTCTGCTTTATACACAACAGAACAAGTCCTTCTACTTACTGCTGGGTTTTGAACATTTAAGACATTACTGAGGCACATTTTATAACTCCCTTGAAGTTATTACTCCCCTGTCTTGAAATGGTAAGAATTGGAAAGACATTTTAAAGAAAGTAGTTTGTTATTGCCATGTAATTTCACCACTCTGAGAATCTAAAATAGAAACGATAGGCAAAGATCCTCCACCAAATATCATTGGTTTAATAATAAAACCGTGAGGTGGCCGCCCTCTTTTGTAGAACATGAAATGAAGCATGATAAGACAACAACATAACAGTGTTCCATAGGAAATGTCTGCTTCTTTCTGTAAGCAGGTTTCCTTCAGATGCTTCTACTATGGACAGATATTATGGCATATACATGTATGCCTTCAGGTTGCTAGGCATACCTGTCGAGTAAATTTTGCGAAAATACATTGGGCTGCCCATGCTATGAGAATTCTTATAGCAGCTTTGCTGACAACCTCCAGCACAACTTTAGCACAAGGACTTAAAATTGGGACAAAAGGTTACACTAAAAGGATACTTTTGCTGTCGCTGAAATGTCACCTTGCAAGTTTTGCGTTAATACTTAGAGAAACTTAGAATTTTAAATTGAGTTTTCTGAAGAATCTAGGTGCACCCAACATGCTTCAGCTCAGGGCCACAGGCTCCTTGCTGGTGCTGTCAGAGGCTGCAACAATATAATTCAGGCATTTTCTAACTTCTAAATGCTTGACTTTTTAGCTGAGCACTATTAAAACACAGTCTTTTGGTACAATTGTTATACATGAGGCACAAATGTATCAGATAACGTTTTTCATTATATGTTCAGCTTGCTTATAAAACAAATTTGCGGAACAGTTTACAAAAAGATCTTTATGAAAGATTCCTTTTAAATGCAAAGAAAGAATTTCAAAGATTGCTCCTTAGTGTTACTTTTACCTTGTTACTAAAGACACAGTCTCCCTTTACGATAGGGAGACATGCCTTCAAAATCAGAATTGTCATTGATGCAATGACAAAAGGACAGTAAGCATGTTCTCTTCTCTCTTGGCTAAAGTGATTTTTTTTTTCCTCTATTTTCTACTAAGATAGAGGAAATTACACATACTTTACCAATTTTCTAGAATAAAATAACACAGGCTGAGGCAGTAAATTTCACAACTAGCTGAGTCCCACAGAGGTTTGAAAACAGAAGAACCATACCGACAAATGCAGAACCAGCATGTGTAATCATACATCAAAATGTTAAGTTGGCTTTCAACAACATGATGTCTGTACTTAAAGCCTTAAGAATTTTTTCTTTAAATCAAACATCATCTGCAACCAAAATGCCTATCTTGGAATTCACACTGAACAATGAATATTAGCAAGCTACCATGACGCATGATGACACAGCACACTGAATAATATATGCAAGGTAGCAATTAAAAGAATGCATACATATGCTTCGGCAAATCTAAAGGGAAATAATTTCTTCCCATATGCAAGATTTGTTAAAAAATGCTAACATATTGGGAAGGGCTGGCTGTTCAAATTTTATCTTTCTGAAGGCAGAACAAATTTAAAGTTCAAATGCCAAATCGTTTTATAAAGTAATTTTATGTAAGAGAAAACTGATCAAACTCAGTTTTCCAACAGAAAATCCTCACCCTACAACAATCAATTAGACTGCCTCTCCTCAGGCAACTTGGTTCCCAGAGTACTTGATGCTGCTGTGAAATATTTTCTGGTCAACTTCAGGGGAAAAAATAAAGGTGGTATCATTAATAAGGTAAATGCACATGCACTCACTCCAGCTGTGCACAATCCCTTTGCTACGGGACCATGCAGTTGCCATCATTATGAAAGGATCGTAGCCTATACTACTACTACTAACTATTCACTAAGGTGATGAAGGTTCATCCTACCTTGCAAACTCTCCTTTTTTCTGTTTCTACATGTGGGGAAAAAAAAACCACTATAGAAATGAATACTGTCATGAAAAGAGACTTCTGATTAAAGATTCAATAGATTTGAGCCAGTCTACAGCTACTTAGAATACTTGCTGTTACTTTTACTTCTTTAGACTATTTCAGTATGGTTTTCCAATAAAACTTAATTGTTTCCACAAACAAAATACTATTTTCAAATTAACTTATTCTTTTAAGATGATTAGAATATTTTCAACAGAATTACGATATTGCATATAATTTATTTTAAGCTGGTGTAAAGACCTTAATGATTTATAATTAGTAAATTGTACCCCTGTCACTGGAATTTATTATATGATACATATTATTTCCAAAAAAGCTGATTATAGTAACTTCATTATTATAATTAATAGTTATTCCAAATTAATTAACATGAAATTCTTTTGTCATCCTCAAATAACTAAATTGTCAGTTAGTATCTTTCCAAATAACATGCACTGATGCTTAGAACAGCTTACGTGGTATGAAAATTTAATGTGAAGAAGGATTTACCCTTATAGTAGTATCAGTAGGATTTCTAGTTCTTTCCCTGCCCTTTTCTGCTATTTCTATAACAGGTGAAGGTTGAAGAAAATCTTAGAACTGCAAAGCAACACTCCTCTACAAGTTAAATAGTTATTTTACTTCCTAAAGGACTGTAGTAATTCAGTTTGACAGATGAGTATCAGAGACTACAAGCTGAGATTTATCAGTCAATTTACCGAACAGAGACCAGGGTGAAATTTTGTTTCCTCTGAAAGAAATAAAACTACTAAAAAATTCCCCCAACTTTTTGAAGAAAGTAGGACTTCAAGACCATGGCCCATCCATCTCTGCTGCCTCCTCCTGGCTTCTTGATTTGACCCCTATTTTTCATTGCACAGTTTGTCTCTCTAATATTCTTCCTCTCCTGCAGGTTTTACAAAATTAAATCTTTATTTTCTGATTACTGAAATGTGCACATGCTAGTATCTAGCAGTGTCAATGCATCCAAAATTGTACTGTTTAAACATATAACCTTTTACAACGTTAATTTATGCTCCAACAATAGGATAATGAAATAAAGATTACGATATTAGAGTCTTTTGTGAAATTTTGCTAAAGACTATGGACCACTGTATTTGCCTTAAGGTTCCTCTGGGAAGGTAGTCTTTAACAAAAAAGGAACTTCAGCAACTTCAGATATATACCAAATATAACTAACATATATATGTGTATGCGAGTCTGCAAAAAGTCTAGAGAAGAGACAAAATCCAAGAGTAAATACTCTCAGTAAAATATGAACTACCTACCTGTCAGAACTGCCAAATCAACACTTAATTTCCATTTCTGTCATCAGAATATAGACAGGCAAGCAACCTACTGAAAACAAGAACTCGTTTTATATAACCAATGGATTTTTTTCCCCTAGTCAAGGAGGATACAAGACTTAGGATCCTCAGAGAGCTCACAGGAATGTTCAAACTCATATGACAGAGAAACAAGCTTAAGATCCATGCAACCAAGATACTATAGCATAACCAGATATTTAATATATCCATTACATACTGTAACTGGTATCATATTGTGGCAACTCACAGTATCTTATTTTCTTCCAGCTAAACCATTCACTTCTCTTAACAGCTTGTCATTAAACATGGACTATCACTTCCTCCAGCAGGTCATGACAGTACAAAAAAAGAGAACCTTGGGGGGGGGGCGTTGAATGAAAATTGTTTCCAAAAAACTCATGATACCAAATAAATGCCAGTTCACTTTCACAAGTTAGTAGGCAACTATAACTTGCCCGACAGTATTACCATGTAGCTGGAACTCCAACTACCACACAGTCCTGGGCTATGCATATTGCTTATTATTGAGAGTGGGCTTTCACACTATCGCTAGAGGTGTTCTAAACACATGCCAATGCCAAAAGAGAGAAGTCCTGCTCTTCTTTCTTCTCTTTTCCGGTACGTCACTAAATGGGTTCACTAGTTATCCTAGATTAATGACCTGAATTATTTTTTTTCTGGAAGAAATGCCAGAGCTGCTGAAGGAGGTGAAGGACAGAAGGTGAGGAAACAGAGGAAGAAAAAAAAAATAAAAGCAATAGAAAGAAAAGAAAAAGCGAGGAAGGAAATGAGTAAGACCCTCCTCTTCTGATGATAGTGAGCTTTTAAATATGCTCAACCATAACAAGAAATCATACCCTAACAGTGTGACTGAAGAGAAGCTTATGTCAATTTAATTAATCTGCTGCAGTCCTGCCTTCTTCCTCATATGTGGTTATATTTTGTCATCCCATCCCCTCCTTTGTGCTAGCACTGATTGCTTTGTGTAGCCTTGTAAAAAAAAACCAAAAAACAAAAAAAACCCCATGTTTACTAGTTTATGAAGCTTTGGAACGGCACTGTAAATAACCTACAGTTACCTGCATGTATGAAATCTGAACCACAGCTTAACTTTCTGCATGCATAAACTGATCTCATTCCCTAAAAGATGCTGCTTTATAATTCTTCAAATAATTCTTCAGCTAGCTTTTGTGTCTAAAGCAGGTAAGACCTAGGAAAATTCATAAATGTTTTAGAAAACATCAGAAATGCCACAAGCCCTTTCTCATCTGATTGTATTTTGTGATAAAAGTGTTTTTCTGTGACTAAGAAACCAAGATCTGTAAATCCATGTGTATCTTACTCAAAATCTAGATTTAGAGATAATGAATAACCTGACTGTATTATATTTGACTATCACATGAAAAGAAATCCATATAAGGATATATATTTTAGGAAAGCCCATGTACATTTCTGATAGACCTGTCCACTTATTTCTCTTTCATCGAGTGGACTTTTAAAAAAGTGGAAGACAACAGGCTCATACATGAATACTGAGCAAAAAATAAAAAGGAGGACAAGTAAAAGAAGTGCAGGTGATGAAGACATTTATGTGAAATTATAAGGGATAACAGGAAAGCTAATATAGCTGTTTCTTTGACAGAGAAAGTTTAAAAAAACGTAAAAAAGAGAAACTGCTAGTTTCAGGCAGATATCAAAAAACCATGCTGAAAATAAATCTGATTAAAAAAAACATCACACAAAACAGAAACATGGCAGCATGTTCCCATTCAAGTTAGAGTACAAAGCAAAGAACTCGGAGAACAGTGGCTGAGATAAAACATCAAAAGACTTTAAGAACATTATCACAAAAGATTTTTGGTAGCAATTCTGGATTGTGCGAGTCAGGAAGAGAGTAAGATTAATGAACGATGGGGTGCCTATGTATATGGAAATGCTAAGCAGTGAATGCGTCACTGCAGGACAATTACGGACACTATTCTTCAGTCACACTCATCACCAACTGTCACAACTGCAGAGCTAGGAGAAGAAAAGAAAAATAAATCTTCTGTGCAAATAGAAGAGTGAATATTACAGCTTAACACAGTTCTAAAAAGTTTAACATTTAATAACCTACAGTGTAGTTAATATTACAAGTAAAAAAATCATTATTTTTAATAGTTGTATCCTGAATAACAAAGGACTACATCACTCTTTGAAAACCACTTAATAGGTCTTCCTCAAATTATCTTACTGAAATAATAATTGAACAATTAAGACAAAAGAAAAGCAACAGGGTATCTTGCTGCAGTGTAAACAGGTGGAAATGGCATAATTAATTTCCACATGTAAATAATGATCCGCATAAATCATTTGAAGCTTCACTACAAATTATCTTTGACAGAAGTGAACCATTAATATACTGCTATCCAATAGTTTTCCAACTCTAAATACTGGCTGAAATTATATTATAATGCATATTAATACACAGCCCAGCAAGTTTATTTTTCCATATATCCTTTCCTACAAACACATATACCGTACAGGCAAATGCCTAACATCCACAAAACCAGGGCAGATATTTGTAAAGATTGATGCACTACAGATTTTCCTCAAATACAAATATACTTTTTGGATGAGTCTACCCATTCAAAGTGTCATTGTGACATGGAGGAATTACTCCACTACTCCAATGTAGTTACTAATTTTACCAGCATAAATTACGATAGCTTCATTTTGATCCAGAAAGGCAAAATATCCAGTTGACAGTGTTTGTGAGCACTACATCAGCACAGAATAACAGCAAGAGTATAAAAAAAAAGTTCTCTAAGATGCAGCCTTCAGGCCTTGGTGCTGGGAAACACGTTCCAGACACTGTGCAGAGTTAGCACTGCTCTGCTTTTTCTTACAGCTAATTAGTCCTCCCCCCTTTCCCCTCCAAATTGAACAACCAAAAAGGTGCCAGTGCTGCATGTTTAGCACTGCCCTTCAAAAGAATTTAAGAGGGAAGGAAATAAAAAACTATTTCTTGGGTTTTCTTCATAGAAAACTCAGTGTGAATAAGTCCTTTTCAGTGACCACCCCTCATATGCTACTTTAAGATTTATCTATGGTTTCCATTACACTAGATAGATTTGCAGGCTACATGAGGTCTAGGGCTGTGGAAATGAAGCTTCCTGTTCCCTGACCTCAGTAGTACATAATCTTTTCAGTGAGCAACAGCCACACTAGTTCCAAAATATTATTCAGTGAGTAATTTCAGCTTGCACTCAGAAAGGCAACTTCCATTAGTTAAGACAGACCCCTGGGAAACAAAGGTTCTGTTATTGCATCTGTCCTTCAACTCCATCTAAAGGGAGGGTCAGAAGAGAAACATGTTCAGAGACAGCAGTATCATATCTGAGTGCAAAGCCTTCCCCCCCCCAGCCATCTCCACTATCTGTTCTATAGATATATTTAAAAAAAAAAAAAAAAAAAAAAAAAAAAAAAAAAAAAAAAAAAAAAAAAAAAAAAAAAAAAAAAAAAAAAAAAAAAAAAAAAAAAAAAAAAAAAAAAAAAAAAAAAAAAAAAAAAAAAAAAAAAAAAAAAAAAAAAAAAAAAAAAAAAAAAAAAAAAAAAAAAAAAAAAAAAAAAAAAAAAAAAAAAAAAAAAAAAAAAAACAACTCAGGTTATGTTTTTACAGCTGACATCACAATTACGTGATGGACACAGGACCAATTTTCAAAGGAGAAAGAAAAGGTAAGCTTCTCTTCAGGTGTCCATGTCACCTGGGTAGTAAGAGAGGAGGTAAATAAGAGGTCAAGACACACAGAATAAAACCTACAGTTACAGTCTTTTCAGCCAAAGACACTGTATGTCCTTTAACAGTGCTAAGAATCTAGTAGTCTTAATTATTCACGTAATAGAAACACCCCAAAAAGAGGACAGGAATGATACTGCACAGGTTACACAATGAAACACTGCAGCATGAAATCTAGACGCAGACAGCTTCAGGGAATCGCAGAAACATTGTGCTGGCCTTCGATCCCTGGTGACAGGTATAACAAAGCAGTCACGCATTCCCCCTCATACGATGTACAAGTGTTTGCATGGCTGCAGAACTCTTGCCATTCAGAAGTCGGTGTGAACCCTGTCCATCCCCTTGCACTGAAGCAGAATTAAAATGTAACAAGTATTTGTCTAAACTGTTTTTAAAACCTCTGAGAAAGTTGTGTAAGTAACACACAAGATGAATTCTGAATATTCACAACATCAAAGAAGATGGTCTTAAAACCTCCAATGTCATTTCACAGCTTCCAAATGTATCCTACTAGATTTATTTTTTTTTTTATTCATTTGTAACAAATCTGTATTGCCAAGTAAGCCAACTATTCCTTTTTCTGCACAGGGACATAGAAAATAATCAATCAATCTGCGCTCCTTATAACTCCTTTTAACATACCAAGAGACTTACATAACCTCTGTCTTTTCAGCATCAGCCAGTTCCAATTATTTCAATCTATACTCGCATATCACGTTTCAAAGTCACGATCTATAGCTGTGCTCTAGAATCCCTCAAACGTATCTATTTTCCTTAGGCTGCAGTGCCCATGCTACAGGTACTCCACCCAAGGACTCACTACCTTCAGCTGACAAAGATCATCTGTCTTGTATAAATGTAACTCACAGATTTTTCTCATAATCATATTTTTAACCTCTCTTGTGAAAGAGCACTCCTATCCCTGCCATACTGTAGTGCTGAAGAATACAGTTCAGATATTCCCCATCTTCTAACTCATGCTCTTGATTTCTTTTTTCCCAAGCACTGGAAATAGCAATTTATGAATTTCATTCTTTTCATTTTTGATCTATTTATTCGGACACTTTCTTTCAAAATAACTTACATGTCCTGAAAGCATTAGTCTGGCAAATCAGATATTCACAGTTTGGTGGAAGAATCTTCTTTTTTTTAAAATGAGAACTGAAATTGAACACTTTCAATGTTTTTGTTTTCCTTTTTTTTCAAACAGCAAACACAAAATATTTTGTTTGACTATGAAACTAAATGTTCTGTTCATTTTTCAGTTATATAGTCCTACTTCAGTTACCTTTAATATCAAAATGCCATTTCAAATAAAAATATTTCAATACTTCATCAGACCCATTTGCAAACCTTTGAAACTTCATTTCAGCAAATTTACTGTTAGTCAAAAAGTTTTACCCTAGCTTTCCTAGCCGGTTGTCATCCACAAAAGTGACAAGTACAATCTCCACTCCATTATCCCACTTGTTAATGATGAGCAACAGAATTGCTCTGAACAAGAGAACAGAGAGGTTCTGTGGGATACAAAAAAATACGCTTTTCCAATCCAAGACCAGTACTACCTGCCTCCTTGAAGACATATTTAAAACAACTGGGCACCCACTTTACGGTGATTTGATTTTGTCTTACAAAAATTGCCTTGGGAAGCCTGGAACGGTATTACCGAAGTTAAGATACAGAACACTCCCTTCTTTTATAACTACACGGCCTTTCCTCTTGTCAGAGAAGGGAACCACCTTTTATTTAATTTTTTTCTAGATATTTATAGACAAACTATTTTGTATTCTACAGTTAATGTAGAATTTCTATCACTTTTGAAAATCTGTATCTGCTAAGGAAATTCACAAATAATTTCTAATAAATACATCTCAAGGATACAGTAAACATGAACAAATACAAAGAATGATTTATTTACTATAACCATTCATCAGATTCTTTTGCATTGTCTATGCAAATTGAAACCTTAAAACGGTTTCTCTGTATGAATTAAACCGCTTTGCCTAGATAGTTCGTCAAAGGATTCTTCAGTCTGCCCACATTCCAAATTGATGTTCAGTGTGGAAACCAACTACCCTAAACACTGTCTATTTCACACACCACCAAGCTTTGTAAACACAGGGATCTGAATCATGAAAATAGTGTACAAAAAATTTGTAGCTTAACCATACTGTCTTGCTTCAGTTACTAGAGAGATGATACAAATACATCTCACGAGTCACCCACCTAAGATGAGCCAAAAGGTTAATCTTGAAGTTTGCATAAGAATTAGATTACTAAACAGAGCTTTGCAGATTGACAGTTGCACAAAGCCAGACAAGCAAAACCAAATGAACTTATTTAGTTTAAAATGCAGTCAACAATAAAAAAATCCTTAAGTACTTATGAGATTATAATCTGGGGGATGGGGGGGTGGAGGGCGGGGAGGAAGGAAAAAAAAAATAAAAAAAAAAAAATCGACAGAGATGCTTGTTTGACATCTACACTGCTTGCATGCTTTGTACGTACCTTGTCTGAATTCAGCTTTCCTAGGAATTTCTGCAAGGTAGCACTTTGGCAAAGGGAACGATGAAAACATTGGCCAAGGATATGGATCACTGCCCTAGAACCAGGACCAGAAAGAAATTAATTTAGGAGAAGAATTAATAGCATTTGCTTGATTAACACAAAGGTAAAGTTCCCAGAATTATTGCCTATGCACCAAAATTATGCTTAATAATACAATTTGCAATAAGATACTCCATAACGAAAAAAAAAAGTTAAAGGATACAAAATCCAAAAAGCGTTTGAGCCATAATTTTTTCCAGTATATACCACTGACAGTTTTGATTTTACAGTTCTTTTTTTCCACCAAAAAGGAAATTGCAGATTTTATAAAAATAAAATAACCACAAAACTGTATTTCCAATTCTATACATTGATCTAGCTGTCTTTGCTGTGCTGACAGTAATTTGCATTTCACGTTTATGAGACTCACAGCCAGTGAGAAGCAGGACATTTAAAGGAGCTGCTTAACAAACACTGTATTGTTAGAACTTCGATGAAAGCTCCAGGTATTAGATACTGCATATGAAAACCCAAGCACAGAAAAAAAATCAAATAAAAGGAAGATATAACAAATGGAAAGCTAATAAAGAAAACACAGAAATATGTAAGTAAAAAATAGACAAATAGCATTCACTTTTATAGTAGGAAAAGTATCACTAAAATGGAGCAATATAAACATTTCATCTGAACGTGACAGATCCTAGGCACATGCCAATCGCCAGACAGTGGGAATAATTTTTCAGTGTATCGCTTCTTAAAAATTTTAGCCCTTTATAAAGCTAAAGGTGGACTGGTATTTCTTAATGTTGAATAATTTTCCACATGCTAAATTATCAGCAAAAATGTTCAGTTAATGAAGGCAGGAGTTATGGAAAGAGAAACTGTTAAACTTTAGATTCTAACCTCATCTAGTACTCTCAAAGGCAAAATCCTTTCCAGTGGTCCTCCAATCAGATTTATCCTTACAAGAACATGGTTTCTCTCCACTGATAGTCCATCAATTATAAAATCTCTGGGGAAAAACAAACAAAAACCAAAAAACTCCAAAAATCAGAATCACTTTGATTTACCCACTGTTTAATTCAGAAAACTTTAATGAGCAAAGGTACCTTGAGAGACATACCAGAGTTAAAACACAATCTGGAAAACACATAGGCATAAATAAACAAACAGAAACGTTAAGTATTTTGAGATGTCTGCAAGCATTATCCTGACTTCGTACTTCCCTACCTACTGCTGATTGGAAACATCTGAGCAATTACCGGACACAAAAGAGTAGAAAACTTGGCAAGCTTTGTTATGCCCACATGCTCAGTAATTAGGGCAGAGACAGTTAACAGACCATCAAAATTTGCTCCTTATTTGGCCTACCAGCAAATTTCTGCTGTCACAAATAAGCAGAGTTATTCATAAGTTAACACACAGCCAACTTGCTGTCTGAAGTCACTGTGTAGCCCAAGGTACAAAATTTTTTAAAAGGAATAAAAATCAGTTTTTATACACCAAGTTTCTTACAACTTTTTCCTTAGTAAGGAAATAGTAGGTTTCATCCTCAAATGGTATATAACAACCACCTATATCTGCTGAGATTTCACCCATACTGTTTGATTTAGACTCTGTACTGGTCCCATATAGCAAACAGTAAGAGGAAAGTTCTCAAAATTCAGCATGCTGAGAGAAAGGACAAAATGTCTGTGACTAAATGACTGTCCACTTCTGTCCCAAAAATACCCTTTTCCTTTTGAAAGGATGCATTGTGCGATTTTATTTAAAAGTCAGCAATGGAAAGTCACAGAAGTTGGAGAGCTGACCAAGTTATAAATAAATTTTAAAAAAACCCAAAAACCCAAAGAATTGATGATGCCTTTAATTCATAGATATTAAAACAATATCCTAATTTGGTATTCTATACATAACATAAAAGATAAATATAAAATAAAAATAAAAAGGCATATTTACAGCCACAAATTTTGCACTCTTTTTTTAAGAAGTAACTTAAGATTAACACAAATAGAAATGAAGAAACTATTTGCTTTTTTATTTCTTACACTTTGAGGTGGACATGGGAGAAAGAACAAGACTTTTGTATCTTTTCATAATTTAAGATTGATGACAAACCTGCATGTAAATAAACTTATGCACATTAGAAGCCAACTTGAGTGAGAGCATTTGTATGTTTAAAGCCACTAAGGTATTCATGTATTTGTTCTCAGGAGAAAAGTTTGATAGTTAAAATAACATTTACATCAGTCACTTCTTACCCTGGTCCTTCTGAAGTTTCTGTGACATTTTCCTGCTGAGCAGTTAGTAAAACTTGTGACACCTTATACTGAGTCTCCAAGAGTAAAAGGGTATTGAGCTCACAGCACAGCACATTTAACAACCTGCAGAAGAACACATTGAAATGATAGCACATCAGTCAGGAATCCAGTAACGCAGGAGTAAGACAAAGGCGAACGTGTTTATGAGATCTCAAAATGAAAAAAAAAAAAAACAAACAAAAAAACAACTTGAAGTGCCTGAAAAATACCCAGACAGAACTGGGTCAGGAACACTCTTTTATATCCTTTTTAGCCGCTCAAATGGCACAGCCTTGAGCAAACAGGAATGGCTCCCAACAGATTTTTCATGTGCACTGAACAACCAAAGAAAATATTCACTGGTCAGCTCAGTCTGCTTTTGAGTTTGTATCACAGAAGACTTAATAAGACGTTCCATGTGAAATGTTAAGAAATTATACAATAGGCTGGTAAGGCAACTCAGAATCAGGTTGTACAAAGGAAGGGGGGGAGGGAAGGGAGGGAGATAAAAATACATCTTTCCTTTAGAAAATAGGCTTTTAAGCACTTCTGTACAATCAAATTTAACACAGTTCAAAAGCAATAAAAGATTTAACATGTAACAAAACCAACAAATTAAGTCTGATCAGCTTTATATTTTGCATTCACATAAGACTTGACATGAACTAGAGAATACATATTGTTTGAAATTTGCAGTCTGTTAGTCAATGCTTATTTTCTTCCATGTAATTCCCAATATGCTTCTACTGACAATAGCAAAAATTTGCAAACCATTCTCTGGATAATTTAACACCTGCAAATTCACACAATTGCGGCCAAGGATTAAATAGTCAAGATGATAACATGTCTTTTTCCTTTTTTTTTTTTCCCCTGTTGCTTTTTTAATATAACTTGATCTGTTCAGTTTCAGTCCTCTTCAAGTTTTATTTATTTTACGTTAACTATTTCCTGACACTGATTTGTTCTCCGTACTCTTCTAAATCACAGAAGAAGAAATGACAGTTCAACTATAAATTTTTTCATTATTATTTAGAAGAAAAATCCACAAAAAGAGCACTGAAACCATTATGAAGATGGACCATTTCTTCTGTTAAGTATGATGACTTTAAATGGCAAAAGAACCTGTTTCTAACAGTTAAAAGCCACTTGGGAGAAGACTGATGGCTGAGAATGCTTATAAACACCTCCTCTGACACACAAGGCAGAGGAAAAAAATAAATAAATAAAAAAAGACAAACCGTAAGCAAATAAAATTAGGTAGAAGGGATAGTGGTAGGATAAATGACAAAATAACATGAGCAGCCTCTGCTGGGGCATTCAAATATAATTTTCATCTACATGGAAAAATCCATTTTAAAATGCCGTCACTGAAGTACAGATACTTGGTTAAAGGTAATACTCCATTGCTTTACTTTCCAAAGTCATAAAAAAAAAAAAAGAAAAAAAAAAAATTTAAAAAAAAAAAAAAAAAAAAAAAAAAAAAAAATCACATTTTATAGTGTGCATACTTGTGAGCATGCTTGAATATGGTTGTGGAGTTTTTCTTTTTTGTTTGTTTTTAATTGCGTTTGGAACATAAGAATCGGATCAGACTACCCAGCTCAATATCCTATCTATAAGGAGTGCATGCTTATGAAAAGGTATAAAACCTAGACAGATATAATACAATAAAATCAAAGCATATCTTTTTGAGATATATTTAAAAATTTTGTTTTTAAAGGAGAAGATAGAATTCCCAACCTAAATGTTGCTGAAAATTGGAAGATATGCCTTGATGCAAGGTCTTGTACCTGAGAAGGAATAACCCCATGCATCAGTACAGGCTGGGGACTGACCAGTTAGAAAGCAGCTTTGCAGGCAAAGACCTGGGGGTCCTGGTGGACAATAGGTTGAATATGAGACAGCAACATGCCCTTGAAGGCCAACAGCATCCTGGGCTGCAAGGAAGAGCGCTGCCAGGTGGTCATGTGAGGGAGGTGACCCTTCCCCTCTCTCGGTACTGGTGAGGTCATACCTGGAGTGCTGGGTCCAGTTCTGGGCTCCCCAGTAAAAGAATGACATGGACGCACTGGAGCAGGTCCAGCAAAAGGCCACGAAGATGATTAAGGGCTTGGGCCATCTGACATAGGGAAAGAAGCTGAGAGAGCTGGGACTGCACAGCCTGGAGAAGAGAAAGCTCAGGGGAGATCTTGTCCATGTGTAGAAATACCTGACAGGAGGGTTTGAAGAAGATGGAGGCAGACTCTTCCCAGTGGTACCCAGTGAAAGGACAAGAGGCAATGGGCATGAATTGAAACACGGGAAATTCCATTTTAACATACTGTGATGGTGGTGAAACAGTGGAACAGGTTGCCCAGATATGTTGCAGGATCACCAGCCTTGGAGATATTCTAAACCAGACTGGACACAGCCCTGAGTAATGCTCTCTAGTCGAACCCACTTTGAGCAGAGCAGCTGGACTACACAATCTTCAATATCTCTTTCAATCCCAATTCTATAATTCTGTGAAAACTACTACTAAGATATACCATATTCCCAGGAACAAACTGCAATACAGATAAAATAAAAGGTTATCTGAAGGCAGTCTTTTATAGAACGGTAATTTTAAAGAAATTCAGAAAAATCAAAATACATATCATAGTTGTGAAAATATGGTAGTAATAAGTAATTTTGTTTCTGAATTCTGCATTTCCTCTTCTATGTCATCCCTGTCTTTCTTGGAGGGTGCTCCCTGGATTCTCCCCCTTCAACTATAATGTCACAACTAATACTTCACTGTAGAAATCTCTAGTCTGAAAGAAGGCATGCTAACTAGTACTTGTGTACCTATGTAAACTGACTATTTCCTTGGTTTTGGTAGGTGGAATCATGACGACTTCTTTAGTTACAGCAGAACAGAAGGTCCTTCATGGGATATAAAACAGCTAGTAAATAATTCTAGCTGCTAAAAAAACCTTGTTAATTTTTATGTTGCCTCTCTAAAATTTTTCACCTGAAAATAATATAATTAAACCACTTATGAATTTCTCCGTGCTGCTAAAAATACCCATTGAGAGGATAGCTCATTATCATATTTCTCAATATTTTTCCTATGAGTTCCTTTTAAGAACACAAAATAATATGATGTTCCCCGTACTCCCATTTTCTCAGTTGTCTTTTTTTTTCCCAACTTCAAATCATACATCCCTCAAACACCACCTTTATTATGGTAAACCCAATTCTAGTTTTCTGCAGTTCCCACTACACTCCCATAGACTATTCTTCCTTACTTTCATAACATGTGTTCTTTCCAAAGCCAGTCTGATGCTCTGTCCTCACTTCAGGGATGCCTGCAAATGCTCAGCTGGCAGTGAAAGATGCAAGATACTGTTCTTGGATACAGTAGCTGTAATAGTCTGTGGTGGGTTGACACCAGCCAGCAACTAAGCACTCACCCAGTTGCTCACTCACTCCCCACCTCCCACACGCAGACCAATGCCTAGCCAGTCTCCGAGCAATGGCTACCTGCAAGACCAACCCCCCACCCCCACAGTTTTTATTGCTGACTGTGATATTATATGGTATGGAACAGCCCTCCGGGCAATTCGGGTCAGCTGTCCCAGCTCCGTTCATTCCCAGCCTCTTGCACGCCCCTAGCCTACTTGCTGGGGAGTGGGGAAAAAAAGAAAGCCCTGTTGCTGAGCAGTGCTTGCACAGTGTCAGCCAAAACACC